GGTAAGGTTGGCGTTTATCATGAACTGAGTTCGATGAGCAGCAAGACATTTTCGAAATGTTTATATGACGATGGGTCAACGTTCGAAACGTCAGCTTTGAAACTCGTAACGGTGGCCAATTTTCATTTCCAACTCAGTTGATAAAACCAAAATATCTTGCTTCGATCACTACCCCACCGACGCAGCACCACGGTTTTCTTAGAGACGTAATCCCTTTACACTCGGGTAGGTTGAGAGACAGACAGCTTGACCCGGCAACAGACAAACAGAGAGGCTAACTTGAGCACAGGAAAGCAGAAAGACTGAGTGTAAGGCAGGCAGATGGACCAACGCAAAAACAAAGAGACGGACAAACGGACAGAAAAACGAACTAACAGGCTATAAGATAAACAGACAGATCAAATGACTACTAGATGGACAAACAGATAAAAAGACATGTACATATGCAAAGACACCCATTCAGACGGACAGATAGACGAATCAGTAAAATGTACCGCTGAGTAGAATCTCGCTGGTTTTGTTCTATTTGTCTATGATTTAATTAGGTAAACTGGCCTTTTCGTCTTTTTCTTTGTGTGTATCATACAATAACTGCAAATAATGAAGATATTTTTAACATATTGGGGTTTGTGTCTTATGTATTGTACAGCTTAAAGAAGTCTTCTTCAAAATCTGAAAACTCTTTGTGCGATACGATCCGAGAAGGTTTTGAAAAAATTCAAGCAAGGTCTGCTGAGCGAGTCAGAAAAAAACTCACCGAGATCAACAGGTTTGTCATCTTGACACAACAAACAACAAGCAAAACTGGCACAACAAGTTGTCATCCGCCGTTGTCATGAGCTTAAGGGATGCCTTAGTTAGGATTTCGTGGTGCTCATCTAGGTAGAATAAAAGGCTGCCTAAGGGTAAAGCATTGCTTCCTCTTATCTGAGATTAAAGCAAAATACATCTGACACTTTCATTCAGCTAGCTTCTTCTCTGCCTCAGGAAATAAAACCAATGAAAGCTCAAACTCTTCAAAATGTAATGCGTAGAGATCTTTCCTCAGTTTAAACTGAAGTTGTATAACTTTGGGCTTTGATGAATCTTAGTTTGTTAATTATCAATTGTTCTTATAAAGCTTACAAGGGCTTTGAATTTCAAGAATTGAGAATATCGTGCTACGAATTCTCAGTTTGGAATTCGTCAGAATAGTGTCCAACTACTTACAAAGTGGGGGTAAATATTCGCCACTTTCACCAACACTGAGGTGGATACTTGTTCTTGATTAGTATATACCATAGAGATACCAAAAACTTAAAGTTTATTTCTTTTGCTGAAATATGGTCAGAAATTAAACTCTTGACGTACTATTTTGTCTTTGGCTGCGCCTCGAACAACTCTTACGCTTTTCTCGTGCTCTCCAAACTTTCCGCGTACATCCATAACTCAATATACGCGCGCTAAGCATGGACCAATTCTTTAGTGTGGTATATACTTATATGAGATATTTTCCTCGTTAGCTACTTACTTTTAATGCTGGATGGAAGCGGTCGTCTTCTGGAAAAGAACTCAAGCAGAGACGTTTAAGAGACGCGGACAGCAGGCGGAAGAAGAATATTATTTATTGTGGTGTCTTTTGACGCCAATTTATCGACTATAAGGCCGTCGTTTAAACGTTGCAAACGAAATTGTGCAGACCATGAGAACTTTTTAACTTCCAACTGCCGTCCGCATCTCAAAAACGTTTGTCCTTCAGCTCCCTGGGAAGATTCCAGTGAGGTCCAAAATCATGACTTATATAGTCTTTTAATTTTATTAATCGAACAGGAATGAAAAGCATTCGTTTATTTCAAAAGTCCAGGCGGTTGATCCATCTTCGGTCTTTCCAGTGGATTTACAAAGAGTGCAACAAGCAGGCCGTGAGATCATTCAAGATTCCGACAAGGAAGATGTTAAAAGCGCTCCATGGTAAATAACGTAGGAAAATTGATGATAAATAGATAAAAAAAATGCCGGGATTTATAAAAGTTTATATTCTCCATATCACGACAAAAAGCTGCAGTTAAAATGTTAGAAAAAACTAAAGGAGGCTGTGGTCGAATAGAAATTGATAGCACCAAGATTGACGTGGTAAGTTTCGTGTTTGAGGATATGGGAGAAAACCAAAACCACACCTTACGAGGGTAGTGAACACAGGAGGTACATAAATGAACAAAGAAAAATTCAAAACCATAAAAATAATCAAGATAAAACCAAAAGCATACAAGGCATAAGGAGGGTTAAAGATGAAAGCAAAATGAGTGGCAGTAGGTGACAGTAAGATCAGGATGAACTTTCGCAAGGTGTAAGAGTCTGACATTCGTCTTTTCATAGAAGCTGAATCAAATATTGTTTTACAAACAATAGTAAATAGTAAAGCCTCCAATAATCTGATTTTTGCAGCTTTGAAAATAGTTTCAGAGGTAACAAGGACTTGTGCAACATTTTTTTTCGGGAAATTTTTACGTCAATGTCTTCTTGGAATTTAGAACCATTTTAGGATGTTACTATGGTGCGACTTTTTTAAGGTTTTTTTTTCTAAATCAAGAAGGATCCCGTGCATCCTATTCATTCCTCTCTGGTTAAGCATTTGTTCACTTAATAGGTACGAGGATTTGGAGAATGAGGCCAAAGAACTTGGAGTTGCCAGCGAAGCAGAGGTGATCATCCTTTTAAACAAGTTATATCCATTTGCTGTTGATGACATCACCACGCTGCCTTTTGTCCAGGTTTGTTCTTGAGTTGATTTTTCAAGCTACGAGAAAAATCCACTCGACTGATGGCCATTTGGTGCTGACACAAAACTGTTTGAATATCAGGCCATTACTTGGAGTCTGTATCCCTAGAAGCGTGATGGGCGGTGATTGTTAATGCAACAATTTTCCAAGGCATACTCAATTTTATGGAAGTTTATATTATCGTATTCCTGTGATTTTCTTCATTCAAAATTCAGGATGGCTCGTTTTCGGCTGGCAACTTTATGAGAAGTTGAAGTGTCTCTAAAGTAATTTCTCAGTATACACGGAGCTATGAAACTTTTAATTTGACTGCAGGAACAAAGTGAACTATACGTTCCAAGTGATCGGTTTGTGGTGCTTCTCTATCTACTTTGACTGTAAATCAGTTGTTCTCATTTCAGTCTTAATGTTGTTTGTTGTAGGCTAAACTTTGTCTTATCGTTCAATCCTTACCCATCTATGAACTGTGCCCATTAACCACACTGGAGGCGCTTAAGGTACGAACAGCCGTATTTTAAGATGAATAGAATGTCTGCTAGACTTGGGGGCAAACACGGAACAATTGTGTTTTTGGTTTTCATGAGTGCTTATTATCATCCTAAGGGTACAAAGCCAGCTCAAGGTACCCTGGCCCTCAATCACGGCCTATAATCTGATGCTCAGTAGTTTCCATTCCTAGTGGTGGCAAACTGATCACTTCTTCAACTCGCATATATTGTTATTTCGTCCTATATATTACGTAGAAAGTTCTGTTGGGTGATCGGTCGACGGGTCTCGTTTTACTTCGTAAGTAACAGCAAAGCTCATTTGAGCTGACCTGGATAAGGAGGGGGTTACATCTGTCTTAACAAGAAAGCACTTGGGCAATACTGGACGGATGTCAGCTCGAGCTCTTGAAAGACAAGGATCGAGGGCCAAAATTATGGCGCTTAAGCGCAGACGTTTTTGAGACACAGACGGCAACTGGACGTCAAATTCAATTTTTTGGGCGCGCTCTAATCGCCTCTTATTTTCTTAAAATGGTTTTTTGTTTGTATTTGGCATTTGTTTCTTGATTAATTAACTCACCTATTTATTCGTTTGTGTTTGATTTTAGTTTCTTCTTGCGAAGATCTTGAATTGCTCATCTGGGACGTTTAACGAGTGGATGAACCAAAGAAAGCTTCTTCCAGAACACAAAGTTACGTGAGGCTCCTATGTTAGGCATGAATAGATGCCGGAAATAATTGTACGCATTAATTTTTAAACAAAATTTGACAGTATTTCCTTGGATTTGGATGATCTATCTTGAAACTAAATTTGCACATGAATAAACAGCAACTAATTAAAGGTTGAAATTTGTAATAATTTATTTAATTCGCTGAGAACATTCAAAGTTACTAATTTGAAACAGAAAAGTACAAAGCAAGGGGAAGGTGTGCCTCAAAGAAAAACCAATTACCTAGAGAGATTATTATCAGTTAGCGAGCCAAACAGACCTATCTCAACTAACGTAACGAATCTGACTGATTGCTACTGACCTATGCTTCTTTACTCTTACAGTCAATATGTGTAGTAAAATCACGGAGAAACTGACCAATCAGTTCAAACAAACCAGATTTTGACTGAAAGATAACTCCTACTTGATTCTGATGATGACTTTCACTTAAGTTGTCAAAACATCAGTCACTGCTATCCATAACAGTCCTTTTATGTACTACAGTAACTGTAAACCAGACAATCGGTCACACGGTCATGGGAAAACCAAATTTTCTTGTCTCCATGGGTAACTAAATTTCATAAGTATGAGGATTCGAGCTCAGCTGCAAGATTGACCCTAAGTTCAAATTTTAGTAAATTCCTAAGGACTCCTACAGACTACTGGGTAACCAAATGATTTATCTTGGAAAATTGTCAGAAGCAGATGCAAGAGTTGTAAGTATTTCCCTGATAAAATTAAAAACTTGCAGACCAAAAGTGTAGAAAATCTCAGAGCCAGTAGCCTCCTCCAAATTCCCCTCTTAGTCCCCTAGTCAAGTAGCCAGTAATCAAAGAGGCAGGATTGAAATAAGTATAAAAAAAACAAACATGGCTTCTAGGGTTTTTTTGGAATGAATCATAATTCAGAATTCTCCAAAATATCACAAGGTGGGAAATAGTGAGTACTATTTAGCCAGAGCCAGCACTTATTCCAAATACCACTGTATTAAGCGGACACCCACAGGAAATGGCAGAGTGACCACTTAAAACAGGTTCCACAGATTAGTGGTATTAAAAAAAACCATACACAATACCACTTTATGCCATAATTGACCACTTAATCCCGCACAGAATCTTGCTCAAAAATACTACCTAGATTCTGGGTGAGAAACACGGATTCAAAGTTACTTGAAAGATTATTTTTAGTTTTATTTGAGTAGTTCTGCTTTCAGTGACTGTTCAATACAGGTGAAAACAATAAAATAGGCCTTTGGGACTTATTATTAATGTTCAAAGAAATGCGTGCACTGTGATCGGTAAGAATGAGTTCATTAAATTTCCATAAAGCACCCGCCTTATGCCACATGCACTTGGCATGTTTTTTATCTCTTTAGTAAAGGGATTAAGAGGAAACAAATTTGGAACTTCAAAAATTGAGCACTTATTACAAGGTGACTGCTTAATACTAGCTGGACTGTATAACTGGTGTTCACCCAGATACCCCTTGAGGCCATGGGTTTTTGTTCTACACTTATTTCACTCATTTTAAACACCGGGTATGAGGGGGCTGAAATTGGAATTTTGAGGTTGCTACTGAAATTTTCAGGAACCAATCTGTCAAAAAAATTGGCCCCCAAAAGCCAAAAAAAGTAACAATGTCACTACAACTTACAATAAATGGAAAAAAAATTAAATGCATTCACACCCCAACCAGCTGTACTGGTAAGTTATTATGGGTTAAGTATTTGATGTTTCTTTTCTTATCTCATCACTCATCATCATCATCACACAACTTATGTAACTTATATCCTAAATACAAAAGTAAAGGAATATTGGGTTGTTCAAACTACTGATGATATAAATACCAAGCATTGTTGCTATACTGTGGAGTGACTAAGAAAAATATGTTATTGAAGTTGATCGTCAAATTAAACATACAACAGGCATGTCAGCCTTGAAATATTATTGCAAATTACATTCATTTTACATGCAGTCTGCATATTTTTCATTTAGATAAATATCAATTTTGAACCTACACCTACACCTCCACCCTGAGGATTAAGACATTGATGATGCTACTGCTACACCAATCTATAAGAAACTTATACAAGTTTTTAGTAAAGTATTTAAAATACAATGATGCAATAAGTTTGTACTCTACACAGCTTTTCTTATATCAGATTCCACAGAAAAGTCTGGGTTCATTTCCCCATGGCTGTCATGAGTTAGGGTTACGGTTGCATTTAATTTAATTTTACATGAAGTCTGCATATTTTCCAGTTAGATTTACCAAAATTTTAAACCTACACCTCAGCACCGAGGATTAAGGCATTGATGATACCATTGCTACACAAATCTATTAGAAAACTAAATAAATATATGTAATATTTAAAGTATTTAAAATGCAACGATGCAATAAGTTTGTAATCTACACAGCTTTTCATATATCAGAGTCCACAGAAAAGTCTGGGTTCTTTTCCCCTAGACTGTCATGAGTGAGGGTTAAGCTGTTCACAGGTTTGTTTACCATCCAGGATAAGTACATATTCCAACCAAGAGACACCCCTTGAACAAAATTAGCTCGCAATTGAACAGGGACAAGAGTAAAATTAATTGCTTGTACAAATGGCCACACTTTGTAACCTGTGATCAAAGTTCTAAGGTACTTCTCTTCAATAACTTCCTTGATCTCACTAATATCTTTCCCAGACAGTGTCCCTGATAAGCTATAGAAGAAAAATATTATAAAAGGACCATAAATTGTTTGGTCTACTATAAGTTTCTTGAGAATTTGCATCTTGGATGTAGGTGGTAGAAGGCGCTCAAGTGTTAAAAACCATGTCCTTTGAATAGGCCCAATAATGACTCCCATTATGTACATGCGAAGTGTTCTTCTAAAATCGTGATGCAATCCCTTTTTTTCGATAATTTGTTGAGTCAAGATGTCACTTGTACTAAACATCACAGCTGAAATGAGAACATTGCAAAAGCAAAAAAACTGAATGATTTATCAAGAAGAGGTGAGATTGGTTAGATATAGATCTGTATACCTTGCATTAATTAATAGCCTGAGTTCAATGCAAGAAAACAAAATCTTTTGTTTATTAAAGAGCCTTGCTTTTAAAGATCTTTGACAGGTCTTTGACAATCCTTAAAGATCTTTAAAGATTCTGTGAGGTTTTCCACCAGCTCAGGGTGAAAAACATAAAATAAAATCAAATTTACAATATTTGCATGTTTCACTTATTCAGGGGGTTCATCAAAATTGCTGATCCTCAAAGTGCACAAAACATGTCAAATATAAACTCACTGTATAATCTCCACACAGATTTGGGGGTTATGCATCAAACAATTCAAGGCCTCAATATTACTTCCCCACTTGGGGGGTGGGGAATTTGAACTGGAACTCAAGTCTTTCCAGCAGAATAAACGTGATATATCTTTTAATATTAAAGATAAAAAGTTCACTCTCACTAACAAATGGCTCAGAGAGAGAAAGGTCTCCAAGAAAATCACGGTGGCTATAATCTTGCCTTAGACATAAAAAATGACGATAAAATCTGGCACTTGGCTGGAGCAGTTGAACACAATTTTGGCCTCGTTGGACAGGAATTTGAACGATGAAATCTTCGAAAGTTACAATTCCCTGACAATTCACCGGTGGACTCATTTATACTCCTGAGTGGAGACTCTAGGCACTGTGAAACTAACGAACAAGGCGCAATGACCCGGGCCAAGTCCCGAACCCGAACCTCTCAACTCGAAGTCTAAAGCACCAACAATTTCTAAAGGGTATACCGAGAAACGCTTAAAAATTTCTAAATGATATATCGAACAGTCAAACAGTCGAATACCGGACGAAGGTTTGACCCTTCAGTTAGACCAAGCAGACATTCTGTCGTTGTAAAAAGGGTGTAAACATAAATTTGGTTAACCTCACCAGTAGTCAGAGTTTGAGTTTTCCATGGATGTGTGGTGAGATATCTCTGATACGTTACCCATAGAGCCGATATAACTCTCATATTTGAGTTGACTCTAAAGCAATAGCGTCCAGGCGTCAAAATGTAAAGTAATTTCGTTTGCGTGGAGACTGGTTCGAGTTAAACTAATTCTCTTCCCAGTCTTTTACGAGCAAAACTAACTTTAACTGAACGAACCTGCCTTTTAATTGTAAACAAATAAGAACATTTTCCAGGACAATCAAATGCTCCGAATTAAATCAATTTTCATCTACGTGTGTATTTTAAAGAGTCATCTGATTTCTGTTTCACGATATTCATTTCTCGAAATGATTGAAAATCGCCACGAAAGTTTGACTTGCGTGAGCTCTGAGACTACAAGGAAGCAGATGTTGTTAAATTTTGCCCAAAAAGGAAACAGACATATAGCCCTCTGGCTGACAAGAGAGTGTCATTTGATTTTGCGGTTGACCGGTACGCTAGCAAGCGTGTTGGTACATTTTTTTCGTTTTATGGTATATTTAAACTACTTTGAAAATATGACAAGAGTGATCATCGCAGCTATGAACACTACTTGAGCAGTAAAAACAAAGCCTGAAAAAAATTCAGGCTTGAACGGGAGTTGAACTCATGACCTCTGCAATACCGGGGTAAGCTAACTGGGAGCTGGTCATTTTTTTTTTGGTTAAACATCAGCATGTTAACTATAGAACATATGTCTATGTAATAGGAGATGAACTTTGTTCGTTTGTCTCACGATAGAGTCACTTTTGATGTTGATCGCGACGTTTCGACTGCAATACTTCTAGTCTTCATCAGGATATATCATATATCCATGATTTAGTAAATAATCCTAAAGCACACTGTTTGAACCAAACGCGAAGAAGCCAATCGTAAATTCAGTCAGGTAAATCTATTTGCAGGTCATAGGACAGGTAGTTTTATGTTCTTAGCGGGGAGGGGTGGGGCTCTAACCAGCTATAACCACGCGCCAAACCCACGGGTTGTGTTCAAGATTAAGGAAACGATATGACCAGTGAAGAAAATCATCATTCCTGGCTAGACTGAATACAAAGGTACGGCATTTGCAAATCTTGTTTATATCTAACTGGTCCTTAATGACTGAGTTTCCAGGCATGGGTGATTTAACGGACGAACTCGAGTGAATAAATTGATTTTCTAGCCTGTCGCCCCGGTAGTGATTTAATAAGTCCACTATTTGGAAAGAGAAAAATCCGTAAAAACAACGCGAAAAAAATTTCGGGAAATTTTTGAGTTCAGTTGTCTCTTCTTACGACTGATGGATAGATATCTTTGCGTATTACGATTCCGTCCATCACTGGTGGATGGGACCACACATGCTTACAGTTTATGATAATGAGAACATTCTTTGTGAGCGATCAGAGCATGGCGGATGGGAATTAATGAAATCGAATCTGAAACATATCAAATATAATGCGAAAGGGGAACAGATGAACAGAAGCTCACTATATCTTGGCAAGGAATTGGGTTATATTATTTACCTGATTATGAACTATTTATTTGACATGTACTGGTGGCAAATTACTCGCTGAACAATAAGAATAAATCATCTGGTTGGTGCCTTAGGTAGATTAAACTCATACGTTATCGTTCTCGGGGCAAAAGTCTCTTTTAGTCACGTGGCAGGAGAAAAGTGATGAGTAAAAGCATGTGGCCCTGGAGACTAGTATGACACGTACTTGTTGGGAACCGGTCATTATATATCTATCCCCTAGAGGAGTGATCGTTTGATTTTGGTTGTGACGCAATATAACAACCTGATTTCCCCACACACACCCCCCTCCGCCAAAGTTCTGTAGTATTTTAAGAATCCCCCTCATTGGCAGTCATTTTTTTTTTTTTTTATAGTTCCTCCTTTAATTTCAGTTAACAACGACTGATCACCTCTCCGTTCCCCTTGAAAATCATGTGATGCCCACAAATCCCCCTCCCCCCGCCCTCCACCTCCTAGATGGTAGCTAGTGACTGGTCCGTTATGCATGGCCTAATCTTCCGCTCGTCTCAAACATTTGGTTTAATTTGTGGCATATTTGGTAAAAGGTCTCAACAGGGTGATGGCTAATGAGAAATAAAAAACGCACCGAGTGCATTGTTGAGACATATAAGCACTTGTGAATTTTTAAGAACACGAGAGAAGTGCGGAGAAGCACGAGCCGTCGTGTTCTTAAAAATTCACAAGTGCTTATATATCTCAACAATGCTCGAGGAACAAGGCTTTTTATTTCTTTTATAAAATGTATCGTGAATTGCGCGCGCTCGTACCGATGACGTAGGCTGCTTGCATTATATATATCTCAACAGTGCACTCGTGTGACGTAAGGCACGTGCTTTATGGAAACATAAGGAACTCATGCTGACCAATCACGGCGCGCGCATTTCTCTGAACATTTTATAAAATGAGATATCTGTAGCATTGTTTTTGGATTGTTTTTTAACTAATAAGTGCCCTCTGTATTTCTTTTTAGTTCACTGTGAAAATAAGCTCGATAATGTTATCAAACGTGCTTAGTTGAGATGTCAACAATCTTGGCTTCACTGGCAAACCAAGATAACTGATAACGACAACCATAAAAGTCTCGCGAAAAAACATCGGAATCGCCATTAATCAAGACTATGGCTGAACCCGAAACTACAGAAAAGGGAAGGAACATTGTATGTTTTTTCTTTTTCGGCATTTTGTCGTTCGTGTACGATGAAATATGTCTGATTTCAGCCGAGGACATTCTCGCAGGATCAACCGTTGCCACAACAACAGTGATTTTATCCATTGCTACTCCCGTGCTCTGTATTAAGCTGGCAGCTCCCTGGTTTCTTCAGCGCATCTCTTATTGGAAGAAAATCATGTTCGTCGTCGTATTTCTTCTCGGAGGATTGACGACGCTCGTCAGCTCGCAGCGCATCTTGGGAAGACTCGCTGGAGTCAGCGTTATAGAGTCTGGCGTGGCTACCAGTGAAATAACGTTTCTGTCTCTCACGGCGTTCTACGAACATATTACAGTAAGCTCCTTTGTGGCTGGTGTAGGGTTGTCATCTTTCATAGGACCCCTCTACTACACAAGTATGTAGCACAAAAATTTATTTTGTTTTGTTTTTTTTCTCTTATCTAAATTTGTTTCCATGATCTGACTTGATAGTGTTAATTGGCTGCAGTAAAGAGTTTCGGTAGGGCTGACGTTTAGAACGTTAGCCCTTCATCAGAGCAAAGAGCTGACGTTCGAAAGGACTCAGTAGCACTCGAAACGTCAGATTTAAATAATGAACTCTTTACGGTGACCACTTTAATCATAAACTTAGTTGATAAAACCAAATGATATTGTAATACCTCCTTCTCCATTCTCCTACGCAACATCACAGTTTCTTTAGAAACCTATTTTCTTTATAAATTTTGTTTCATCTCTTTTAGTATTGTCCTCGTCTTTGTTAGTCTCATCTGTTTTTTTATTTTTTTATTTTTGTTTACTTTTTCCACCTTAATTGAAGTCACGGAAGAGATTTCTCGTCGTGACGTTTGTCTCGAGTTTCGCCTTTAGAGGAAAGCGCCTTTGGGGTATGAGTAAAAATTGCCTATCTCTTTAGTTCAAGAAAGTTGAGTCAGTTGTTACTTGCAGAGGAGAACATCGACTCATAAATATACGTTTAGCTTCATGCTTCATGTGAAAGTGCTCGTTCAACAAATGGTTAACCATTATTGGCAAACGCTATTTATGTTATTTCATTTCATTGTCAGGTCTTACCACGTGGTCTTGTCTGCCACCCCGCAGTACTATTATGACAACCATCCCTTGGCCCTTCCTGCTGTTACTTTTCTACGCCCTCCTGGATAAGGAGCCTATCGGCAAGAAAGAGATCATACCATTCAGCGAGGACCATCCACCCGTGGAAGATGACTCAACAACTTTCTCATTTCGTGACAGATTAAACGTAGCCAAGGATATTTTCCCATATATAACATTCCTTTTTATAACATACTTTTCAGAGTATCTTTCGAATCATGCTGTTATAACAACTTTGGCGTTTCCAAATGCGCCTTTCAAGCCGAGAGACCATTATCCATATTATATACTTTCATATCACGTTGGCAAGTTCATGGGCAGGTCCCATTTTTTTTTAGTTTCCGCGATCAATCCTAAACTAGTTCATTACGTCAGGGTTAGACGAACATGGATCTTAGCCTTGATAGCATCTCTGCACGGGTTGTTTTTTTTCTTGGCCTCTTGGTATAGGTTTGTTCCACGAGTAGAGATTATTATTGCTTTGTGTTTTACTGAGGGATTTACAGCAGGATCCATGTATCTTAATTCCGCTCACACTGTTTCTGAATTGATAGCAGATCAGCAGAAAAAAGAGTTTGCGTTGAGTTTGCTTACAGTTGGTAACGCTTGCGGCAAGCTGGCCGCCGGATTGTGCGGCTTATTTCAAGAACCGCTTCTAAAGAAGCACTGTGTTGAAGATCTTAAACTTGGAGAATATTGTCTAACAAGACATACGCGCAAAGCAGGATGGAATAAAAGCTTTAATTGTTGAATATTCAATTATTGTTATTTTCGAAGGAAGTTGGGAGATTGGGAGAACGGGGGGAACGGGGGGGGGGGGACGGGGGAAAGAAAGGCAGGGGAATTTGGTTCTTTTCCAATATCTTTCCCGGTATTTATTCTCCCGTCCTATATTCTCTTCTGGTCTTGTATCGGATCCTTCCCTCTCAAAATTTGTAATCCATTTTTTCTTGTTTTTCCTTCTTCTTTTTTTTGGGGGAGGAGGAGGGGGTCTCTCTGGGAGAGGGGGAGCAGTGTTTGCACTATCTACTTTCAAGGGAAATTATGTGAAGTTTTTCTGTTAAGTTTTGTTGCTCCAGAATATTTTTCGGGTATTACTTTGCCTCATCAGCACTTCCCAGTCAATGTTTTACCTAAAGATCCATATCTCCCACCCTTGATATCTACACAGGAGGAGAGTGTCTTGGATAACCAAGAGTAGTGAAACTGATGAAGGAGAATGAGTCATAAATCATAAAATAATTTGGTTTTAACAATCGAGGTGATTAAGTGAACTGGCCATTGTGAAGAGATTCTAAAAAGTGGTTAGCCTTTCATGAGAACCTGAGATTAATTCAATGAGAAGCTAACCCTCAAAACATCACCTTTAGAAACTTTTTATTGTGGCCAATTCACTTATCAACTCAGTTGATGAAACCAGACTATCTTGTAATACCACCCCTCCCCCCTGACACAGCACCAGTTTCTTTAGAGACTCTCCCCTTTATTAAAAAATTACTAAGTTTACAGAAGAGATAATTAAACTTTCTTATCATCTTTAAATAATAATTATTGCATTACATATTTTTAAGCATTTCAAACAAACTCTTATACAGCCAAAGTAATGGAAATAATTTTGTTAGCAGTTTTGGAGGCTGTCTCTGCTCGGTGAAATGCATGAAACATGTATTTTGGACATTGGTCAACCCTCTAACTCCTTGAAGTGATTAACATTAACTTCTCCCATTTATATCCATACATTGTCCACCAAACAGGTAATGAGAATACCCAAACTTATCAGGTAGTTGTTACCTTGATCTAACACCAAATTCTTGTTACTAATTTACAAGGTAATATGTAGCAGCTAAAGGGAAGACAACAAACAGATCTTAAGAGTTAGAAGGGTTAACCTCCTTTGTGGAAGAAAATTTTTTTGCTTAGGCTAACCTGTAGGACGGTTGATTTAATAAAATAATTGTGCTTACACTGTAAGCTTTTGACCCTCTTTATGCTGTTCTCAAAAGCAAATGTTCAGATAAAAGGTTCAGCTAAATTGAGGATTGTTTAGGACACAGTTTTATAAAATAATTCAAATAGTAAGCACGCTCTGATTGGCCACAAAACCATTTTACATGAGCACATGTAAACACAGTTTTCCTACTGAATCTTCTCGTGGAGTTCTCCCTGCTATTTATTTAGCAGTAACTCAGTTTCTTTAAGTTTGTTTGAGTACAGTAATGGAAGAAGAAGATTTTCCTAATTTGTCTTTGGAGTTTAATTTTCCCAGTATTCAAGAAATGGCCAAAAAGCCAAATGAACAACAACAACAAGCACGTCGCTTTCCTTCGTTGCAAGAAGAGGCTCTTTCATTAGTTATTTTATAAAAGAAATGTAAAATGGTTTCCGTGTTTACATAGCCTGGTGTAAACACTTGGGAGGTTGGGAGAACACTTGATAAGCTGGAAACCACTCTGCTTTGCGTTGTGGTTTCCTATGCTTATCTCATGTTCTCCCAACCTCCCAGTATTTCTTCAATGATAAACAGCAGCTAAACCTTGTTTATACAATCAGACCAAAGAGTCTGATGTAATAATTACAAATTCTGCAAAGTGTTCATCACCTTGAATACCTGTAATGCTGTCAGTCATCTTATGGAGATAGTCCAATACAGTTTGGTATTATTTACAAACATTTATGAAAAAAAATTATACATGCACTTTGATTGATTGGATTGATGCATCCATTAGATGACTGAACCATTAACAATTTTTTCTCATTTTTTTTGTTTTGTCTTTTTTTATCATATAAAAAAGCAGAGTCTTTGCTGCCAGGGGTCTGTTCAGTAATATATCATGGAAGACATCAAAATGTGTTAAGAACATCTGTGACACACACTGCTGCCCCTCATGCACCACTTTCTTGTTCCTATCAAATCTTGATGTCATCTGTGATCTCTTACTGAGCGGAAACACAGCAACATGGTAACTATTCATTGAATGGAGAGTAAGTCCAGAATGGTCTTGTTTTATTTATGAAAATTTATATATTGCTTCAAGCAGGTTTACACTTATGTTCTTAACATCACGGTATCCATAAGGAATAATTTGGTGTATTTGTTGAATAAATAATTAAATATTCCTCAACAAAATGACTATTACCAATAAATTCTTACCATTTGTAGTTATGGTTACATCTGATTTTGACTGTACCATTTGGTTTAATATTGCAACATGTAGATTATATTACATGATGAGGTCAACAGGTTATGAGTTAGCTGAATTGGATCCATCTGATGGGAAGTCCTTCCAATCGGTCAGAGTTATTGCGCTCAACTCACTGTCTTGCTAGGAAGTTGAGGAACAAGAGTCAAATGAAGACCCTTTTTGTTAGTCAGGTGCACAAAGTCATAGACAGAGTCACCATAATGGGCCCTTGAATAGTCTTCCAAGGAAAGAGGGATTGAATTGTGTCCTGGTTTAAACTCCTTCAGCTGCAAAGCAGGGATGACTCTTGAAAAGAAAACTTGCGACTTCAATACTCAAACATCAGCAATATTCCTAGAGACTGGAAAGGATCCATCTGGTACACAATCTCTCCAATTGGTAGAAGTTTCTATGGTTGGCAGTGTGTATGGTCCACACACCATTGTATAAGGATGTTGAGAAATATGAATCAAATGAAGACCCTTTTGGTTACTCAGGTACACTAAGTCTGATGCACAAAGTCAAAACAGTGGGTCCTTGATTGGTCTTTGAAGATTGGAGGGATTGAATTGTGTTCTGGTTTGATTAGTTGGTTTTTAGCAACACAAATCAAGGTGACAAATTGAAACAACCAATCATAGCACAGTTTGGTGCTTTGTATAGTGACACAAAGCCAACAAACCCTCTGATTACCATTATGATAGCAGTACACTGTCATGATGAACATTGGAATTAACAATACAAGGACTGATGTAAAGACATAATTCACGGATTTCAACACACACAGCTGTAACCTTTTTCCAACTACACAACCTCTTGCAGAGAAAGATAATACATTAAGTTTTTGTATGCATCTTTGTCCTCAGAACATTGCTGTTTCCTAAACAATTCTTCAAAAGCTCGTAAGTGGAGTTAATTATTCCCCAAGACACAAGAGCACGGGTGTAGTTCAGTGAGACTCCATAGAAGAGCCGTCGTGTTCTCCTTCCTCTTTCATTAAAAACTACAGTAAAAGCTTTGAAACAGTTCACAAATTCTCCACCCAACTGTTTTTGCATGTGGCTTTTCACAACATTAACTGGAAAGAACAATGTGCTCAAACACGCCCCCAAAACAGCTCCACTAACAAAATCATTGGCTGCATTTCCAATACTAGTTTTTGCCTCCGGTAGAATGGACTTTAATGGGCCTCTCAAGCCAAAGAATAACACATTAGTGGGTCCATTCCTCAACAGTATCGGAGTAAGCCCTCGATAATATTCTCGCAATCCATATTGCACTCCCACGACTTTGAAAGCTTGAAATGTGTTGGAAAACCTTTCGTTGTGCCCACGATGAGACATTAAAGTTTGTATTCGTTCAAATGGTGTAAAAAGTGCTTCTATCGTTCCCGCTAGCATTGCTGCTATTGCACTAGTGGCCACTGAAGAAGTGCTTGTTAAATTACGAGAAAGCATTCTTTGGAACTTGTTGTATGAACCAAACATAATCGCCATTGAAGTTCCTTTTTGCATCAATGGTGGAACAACTCCACGATAAAGGTTCCACACCCCTTCTCTTAGCACCTGGCGCACTGCATAGCGAATCCTTAACCCCTCAACTTGCTGCCGAAACATGACTTTGTGGGCGGGGAACGTCGAGAGAATGTTAACGGCAGCTGCTCCCGCTCCGCAAACAAAATCAGGCCAGTCTCTGTCATCTTTTATTGAAGAATCAGACGGAAACCTTTCTACTGACTGCGTAGAGTTTAAAGCCATAAAACAACGACCTTCTCCGACACAGCTAACTTCTAATTACAACATTCAGAGCGCCATTTTGAATATTTAGCGTAGCATTCCCATAGTGCAACGCTGTAGTATTTTGACGTCATGACAACAGTGTGACTGTAAAACAATATGGCGGGGTGAGATAGAAAGCTGAGTGTTTTACGAAGCATGGTTAAGAGGTCGTATTAAACACTTAGGTCATATTTAAGCGATGTCTGGTCCATTAGGCTCGCCAAATCAAGTGATAACCACCTTAGATGAAGACGGACTTCAGGAATTGTACACTTGGATCGATGAAATTAATTTATCTCGCCCAAAGCGTAACATTTGGAGAGATTTCAGTGATGGAGGTAAATGTAATAATTTCTTACGCCTGTAAATCATACAGACATCGCTGATTTACTGTATAGAGGTAGTTTTACTTAATAATATCTAAATATGGCGAAAAAAATCACCGTCTTTTCGTTTCTACAATAAACATTAAATCAAAAGATCATTACGTATCCATTAAGGACTTTGTTTGTTGACATTACGTACCATGTCACTGCTGTGGATTTCTTTCTCATCGCCTCTAGGTTAACTTTTTTAAAAAATTTTTGGACATGTTTACTTGTCAACACTTTACGTTCTCGAACGAATCGTATTAGCTAATTATTAGATGATTTGAATTCACATGATTGGCTACGTTGGTGCATGATGATCAATTAGTTTGAAGAGATGATTGCCAGCGATTTAACCCCGGCCTATATAGTTGATGGAAGCGGAATATCGAATAAAAAAGCTTTGATCTATATAATCAGTCAATTGGCATCGATTGGTACGTACAGATCAATCAATGATCGATAAATAGTCTTATTATCCTACTGCACAAAGTAGAGCACAAGTAACGCACGAATAGAGTACAAATATCCTGCGTTATTGTACAGTTGGCTATTTTCACCTGTTGCATATTGACTCGCCCCATGGGCTCTTCGAAATACAGCACAACTTGTAAAAATATTTGGTGATACTACACACCAAAATGTCTAATAAGATATACAGGTACTAATTAGGACCATTTCACTGTGGGCCCACAAAATCTGGTAATGACTCTACCAAATTTTTAGACTAAATTTGCCCGAATCTGAATTAGTCTTGCAACAACAGGGTGCACTGACATACAGAAAGATATTTGTTAACCACAAAGTGTCAATTGTAAGGAAATTGATCACCGTGTGTTACCTAATCTCTTGGTGGGAAAGGTTACATGTGATATTTAACCTCTTTGAAAAAAATGTTGCCTTGGCTGTACTGAGCAGTACAATACTCTTTTTTTTCATTTTGGTGGAATCTGTAATAATTCAGGCCAGAGCAACTTATCAGCCTTGCCTGTGAAAACTGAACTCCACCTTGTTTAAAAACAGATATCATAAAAAGGTCACTGAACAGCTGTTTATTGTACAGCTCAGATTTACAGCAAAAATTTGCTTTTATGGTACTACTTAGGGGACTATCTTAATCTCATTTCTGCATGGGTAGCCACTCAAAATGTGAGATTCCTTTCAGAAATTGCCCACACAGGGATCTACCCATGTTATAAACAGTAATGCATATACATGTGAATGGAAGGCTGTGTCAGTTACTGTAGTGTTGTGTTTGTAAAAACCTAGTGGCATGCAATTTCAAATAATACTGTTTAAAAAGTTCCAGCTGCAATTTTAAGTAAATTTTGCTTCACCCTTCATCCCCTTAAAGTGACTGGTTTTGAATTTCTTCTCACATTATCACCCCTGAATCAAATGTCAAGATCATGAGGGTAAAGAAAATGGTCGCCAAGAAGCTCTTGATTGTTAAACAAATTCTCCTTCATCAGTATCTTAGGAAATGTAAGGAGAACAGTGTGGAGAATATTACTACCAATGTTAGGGTGTAAAACCATTGATTTTACATATTATTTGGATGGAAAGTTTAAGGGAGCATATTTGATTTTATTTTTCAGTTCTTGTAGCAGAAATTGTAGCACATTTTCTACCCAAAATGGTGGAACTCCATAACTATTCCTCCACAAGTTCACAAGCCCAAAAGCTCACCAACTGGGATACTTTGAATAGTAAGTACACGGAATGCTGAGCCTGATGTTATTGGCTGTAATTGGCTATGCTGTTGTGGTGTCCCTGCTATTTTTTGTCATTTTTTGTCGTTTTCTTTACTTTTTTTTTAATCTATTTATTTTGATTGTTGTTATATGGCAAAGTTAATAAATAAATAAATAGAATGTATCTTAGGATTGTCACTTCAAAATGTAATTTGGTTTTATCACCTGAGTTGCTAATATAGATTGGCCTCTGTTAAGACTTTCTAATCAAGGTGAGGTTTCAATTGTTAGCCCTTTGATGTTTGCTCTGACAAAGGACTAATGCTTGAAATGACTTCAGCTAAAGATGCTCTTTACAGTGGCCAATTTACTTCATCAACCCAGTTGATATAACCAAATTATCTTGTACTATTATTGTAGCATCTCAGTTTCTTTAATTAGATACTTAATTCCTTAATTCTCTTTGAAATAATTTTCAATTAAACTTTTGGGAGTTGGAAGTATGATATGAATTGGATGTCTAATATATTAATAATAATAATAATAATAATAATAATAAAATCTTTATTACCGTGTCAATGTATTTAGCTCATAGAGCTAATTGGGGACACCTATTATTACAAAATTAATAAAAAACTATGTACAGTATCATAATAAGTAACAATATAGCCGATAAACTATGCATTAAAATTTAAAAATATTTAGAAATATTAAAAAAATAAGTGGTGACTATATATGCTTAATTTCATTGATGTGTGTTTTGTTTTCAGGAAAAGTTTTTTCAAAACTTAACTACACTGTACCAAAAAGTACCATTAAGGAGGTTGCAGAGTGCAAGCCAAGGGTGATAGAAGTTGTACTAGCAAATCTGAGGATGAAAGTGAGCAGATTTATGAATTTTTTTGACCAGGCCTCTTGATATGATGAATTATGCAGTTTCTTGAATTTTGAGATTGGTTGTGTTTATTGACCAAATGTGCAACATTGCACCTTTTTGTCATACCAAGGTCTTTGTAGACTAAATTACAACCTTGGTAATTTAACATTGTATTTACCTTTTCAAGCTGAAAATGTCTCAGAAATGAATGTGACATACTTCCTCTAACAACAAAACTCAAAGAATGTACATGCACACCAACTTTATTATTTCATGTCCCTGTAGCTTCACCCCTTTTCTCCAAGTAGAAATCAATGGCTAAATTCCTCCTTCCTCTCTATCCCCCTTGACAATTTTAGTGCAAGTCAGACTAGAGATTAGGATATCAACAGATGCATCATAGGCCTGAGGGAGGAGGTGTGCACCTTTCATGAAAAATTTTATCTCCTCTATTAAGAGTAGCACCACTTACAATGTGTAGTTTTCTTCATCTATGATAACAGGATGGGACATGATTTTGCTCATGAAGCTGTAGCCTCAGGTAGTCTAGGTAGTGTAGTCAGAGTCAAGGGGTGTCTTGTGCGACAAGTAATTTACTGGTGCAAGGGTTTAAGTAATGGTTGGTTACCAGCAGTCTACCACTCCCTAAAAGACCAACTACCAGCACCTGTTTAGCCTGCAAGCAGGCTCTGATGCTTGGGTGTTGCCTTTGGGTTTCTTTCCCAAGTACGGCTGCGTATGGAAAAAGTAATGGATATGCCTGATGGTGTAATTGTCCTGTTAGTATTGAAGCAAAGCAACTCAGTTGGAAATTGATACAAAACAATTGTGTATTTTAGATTGAGAAGTACATTGCAAAGAAGAAAGCAGACACTTTAAGAAAACAGCAGCAAGTGTATGATGAGTTCTCACCCAATGGGCCTGTCTCAGATCATGAACCATATCTGTATAATGATGGGCAGGCATACTTAGGTAGGGACAAACTCATGGTCAATGCTGAACTTAAAATTTTTTAAGTTTGTAGGTGATGTTGTGCCTAGATGATGTTGTGATGAACCCAAACATGTAATTGCAAGCTTGTCTGAGCTGTTTTGAAATGACAATTATAAACATACAGTTGGAAACAAGATCTAGTTGCATAATTTTTTTTCAATTAAGGAAGTGACTGCATGGAAGTCAAATGCCAATAGATGAAAGCCCCAGAAATACCAAAATAGAGTACCAGTACATCAGTTTATTAAGATTTTTCAAATCGAATCATTATACTGTGAGTGGCATTGTACTAATTGGTGTGCTTTACAATTTTCAATTGTGGATCATGGCCAAGATTTTCTTGGACTTCGAAATTGTCTGTCATATACAGGGTATATGAAAGTATTACTAACAGTGACTCCAACAACTCCTGTAGGTTACTATACTGTTGCTGGCTCTGAGTTCTGTATTAATGTTTTGATAATCCTGCAGGTCCAGAGAATAACTATGGTTATGCATTCAATACTAGTTATGCACAAAGGAACCCAGTTAATGATGTGAGTCGTGTTTGTCTTCCTCTTTTTTTAGTTTAAATCGAATACCACATTCCCTTCTTGATGTTGAGTTTTTTTCTTCCAATTTTCTTGATACAACAATTTTGGAGAAGGAGAGCATATCATTGGTACGACGATTGTCATGACGATTGCCGATCAACTTTATTTGCATTCACTTCATGAGCACATTAAACCAATGCATACAAGATTTTATGGCCTTGAAACCCACTGTCAACTTAAGAACAAACAAACAAACTAAAGTCAAACAAAAGGAAATAAAGTGAAAAAGTAGAAAACCTTAACCTTTGTTTTTGTGGTGGCATGCATATTCTGATATTTATTTATCAATATTATTTATCATTTATTGTGACGTTTTTGTATTAGGCTGGTGGTTCTTATGGAGCACAGTCATACCAACCTGGACTCAATGGTAGTCCCAGGGGTGGTAATGCTCGGCAGAAGAGTAAAGACGGTAAAGGAGGACCTCTTGGTGAGAAACCAAAGTTTGCACCTGCTCATCAAGGAAAAGGGTAAGTTTTGTTTCTGGATTTTAACCGATGGTGAACTTAAAGAACGTTTGCAGGTTTTTGTTTCTTTAAAAAATATTTTCGCTGGTGTCGTGTAGGCTCTGCCGTATTGCTTGAGAATTTTGACTCCTAACATTTTTTTTTCAGTATCTGAGCTTTACAAAAACAGTGGAAATTTGTAACTGCCATTTTTATTTTAAACTAGTGTTTTTAATACACCCAAGGGCGGGTTTCCACGCGCAACCCAAAGAAAGTGTATGAGTGTGAGAATGTGTGGCGAACCTGGTACGACGCAAGGGAAATGGGCTTTTGCTCATGATTTCATTGTCTCCGTCTACGCAAAAGAGACAGCGACGGGAGCAAGGCAGGGAACGGAGCAGTTGTTACGTTTTGGCAGCGTAATTGGCCACTTAGACTGCTAGTTCAGGATTTTCCGTAGTGGACTCTGGGGGAGCGGAGCGAACGTGATTTGGGCAGGAAAATTGCGATGGGTTTCGTCGTTTTTGGGATAGTGGTGTTTATCGTTTAAAACATGCGACCGAAACGCCAGAAGTTTAATCATTTTCTGATCAGAAAACGATTCAATTACCTCTATGAAAAATAATTAACTGAAAACTTTGTTGCTCACAAAGGGATATCTTGGGCTTGTGATTATACCAGTGTTTCTCTTTGGTTTTGTAGAAAGGTTCCTCGGTCTCAATCATATCAAGATATAAATGGAACTATGGATCCTCAGAACCCTCGATTGCTACTAGAGGAAAAAGAACAAGCTTTACTTGCCTCTCAAGAAACCATACAGGTGAGTGTATCATATATTTTATCTACAGAGAAAGGGTGTTTAAAGGCAAGTTTGTTAGGACCGGCCAGCGAGAAATGGGAAGAGCGAACAGACAAATTAAATGGATGGTTTGACCCCTTGACTCCTTGATGTTATTGTTAATCTCCTCTCTAACTGCTCTCCATTTCCTTGTAAATGTAGTTGTAAGAATTTGGTGTTAGATCAAGATAACAACTTCATTACTTGATAAGCGTGGGTACTCTCATTACCTGTTTGCTGGGTAAAGTATGGGCATGATAGGGAGAAGTTACATGTTAGTCACACAATCAGGCTAGCGTGCGAGCAGGCCCTCGTTAACAGCGTTGCGGCGCGAACGTTTCTTCGCCTGGAGCAAAGCGAGCAGGCGGGAGGTCTGAAAGGGATCTGGCACTAATTATCGGCCAGCGTTGCGCAAGGCCTCGAACTAGGCTCATTAGAGTATTTACCGTAAATAGTAGTTTAGAAACTCTAGTATCTACACTCGAGTGAGGTGAGGTTTAGACAGTTGATTTCCACCATTGCATGACGCAGGTCTGAATATTTTCGCTTTATTCCAGATTTTGAATGTCAAAATTCGACGACTCGAGCACCTACTACACTTAAAAGATTTGAGAATAGACGACTTAACAAAAAGACTACAGCAAGTTACCCAACCACCCCCAAGACAACTACCACCACAACCCAACCCACCCTTCCCCCCTGCTGTGGACCCATCTATACCATCTATGCATATGCATCACCAGAATCCACTTCCGCCATTACATCATTCATCCTATAATCCACAACAGCTACAGGAACATTAGTCTTTCATACAAGACAATATAAGATGTCTGAACGGAAGCAGGAGCTGACATGTGGTCACCGTACGTACCTTGTTATGGCGTGGTGTTAAGATAATCTTTCTTAGAACAATGGAAGATAACACATGAAGGGCATATATCGCTGAAAACACGCAATTAAGTAATTAAATTAAAGTAATTATACCAGACGTAATTTTTTGGCAATGTAGTACATGTACATTGTACTTGTAAGCGTAAATTTCGACCGAGCAGAAGTAATCGTAGCTGCGTCAGGGATTTTACTCTACGATTTAATTTGCAATTTGATATTTTTCTGTACATATTTTAGGTAATTAGTATTGTTTAATCACACCACAAAGTGTGCAAGTTACAGTTAAATCTGGAACATAAACGTCGAAATCTTTTTTAGAACCCGAAAAATGCAGTACTGTTTTTATTGAAGAAACGTAATGAGGCTTTTTATGCCCCCTTGCTGCTTTTTGTTCTGGGATTCTCCCTAACCCAATGACACTACTGACCAAATGAAGTTCTTGAAAATGTACGTTTACTGAACACCTATCGACGTGTAAATAAGATAGATCGTCGCGTAATATTTATATTCAAACCAGGGTAAACAAAATAAGATTTTGGTAGGAAGACCAATGTTCGTGAAGATAAGCGAGGAAAAGAGAAGTTAAAGGGATCAACCGACCGATAGTTATTTAATCATTGTAAGTGTATGTAGGCGATGGAGCGGACCTTTTTAACTGGTGCACAAATTCCGGGGGGGTGCATTTGGGACAGACCATGGGTTTAAAATTACTTGTGAGAATCTTAAGCACTCGTTGCTCTTGTAGAGACTGAGTAATAAACTTATAGTTTATCTTGTTAGGCCCATGTTTACATTGGTATATCTGCACAATACGCAGTTGCAGAACACCATGTCTTGTTTTTAAAATCATATTTCCCAAACGCGGTCACCGTGAGTGCTCTATGATAAACTCCCTATTCCATTCACCGATATTCACCTAATGTAAATCCGCGCACGCACAAAAATAAAGTTCACTTTTTGTTCTCATCTGAACGCCGTACACCGTATTCACAGTTTGGAAGGTTTATTTGAATCCAACATAATGACCAGCTCCCAGTTGGCTTGTTAGCTCAGTTGGTTGAGCGCTGCACTGGTATCGCAGAGGTCATGGGTTCAAATTCCGTACCGGCTGAATCTTTTTAAGGCCTTAATTCAACTACTAGTTCAGTAGTGTTCATAACTGCGAGGATCGATTCTATATTCGTTTCTTCAATCGCAGTGCACACATATGATTTTCATATCTTAACAGCCAAGGTTTAAATTTGTTTTCTTCATAGAGGCAGCTTAAACCAAAGTTTGATTAAAGGGGGTAAGTCTCTAAAGAAATTGTGATGCCGCGTCGGAAGGGAGTTAACAAAATGATTTTGGTTTTATCAACTAAGTTGATAACGCAAATTGGCCACCGCAAAGAGTTTCAAAGCTGACATTTCGAGTGTTAGCCCTTCAAAAGAGCGAATGGAGGAATTGTGGGTCGTGTGTTTTAATATAAGGGGTATAATTTGCCAGAACAAGGTCGGGATTCATTGTAATTATACGCGAATTCCAGGGGGAGGGGGGGGGGAAGGGAGAGGTAAACAACATTTTCAAGTTAATTTGCCCGAATTTTTTTTTATTTAAAACAAATTTTACATACTAAGATACAATTTATGATGTCATTATATATATAAAAAATTATTACATAGTGCTCTTAAAACGGGCGAGTTAGTATGAAATTATTAAAGGCTACTTGTGGCCGGCATTGGTAACAATTTGATTAGATGCCTCGTGGAAACTGGGTCTCCTAAGGAACAATTTTTATCAAGATTGAATGAAATTTTGCAAATCACCTCAGCGAAGATATCAAAATATTTTCAGGTGGATGGAAAACTTTCCAAGCAATTATTATTTCGCTCCAAGAAAATTCAAGAACCCCCCACCAGACCTGCGCAGACGTAACATGAATGATAGTCTTTTTCTTCTTCTGATAGGAAGAGGAGGAGCAGATATTTTGTACTTTTCTGTTTTAGACATCTAGCATCGGGGTTCTACATTAGAGCTTTGGTCCAATTTTTAATCCTCTCTCAAAGACTCAGCAGCCTAGCGAAGCGAAACTCTGAAGAGAGTGGTCCGAGTTATCTAGACCTTTTACAGAGCAAAGGAAGGCAAAACCGATCCGGATTATTTTTTCCACTCGATTAAAAATTGCTCTATTTGGTAACTAACTTCACTCCTATCGTAAACTTTACCCGTTCATGACACAAAAAAAAAACCCATAGTAATTAGACAGACTCAGATAAAAGCTGCATACTCCATGATACTCCACAAATTGCATCACAGGCCTTGCAACTTGGGAAAACGAGTGTGATTAAGTTATGACTGTCAAACTGCTTAATACTACAGATCCTCATTTCCACTAAGTTTTTTGTTTCATACTGAACAATCAAGGATAAACAGTCTCAAATAAATTAGACATCAAAGCAGCCAGAATAAAGATATACGGAAGTCATCGGACGATCAGAATACAACATCAAAAAAAGTTCGTGCCTTAATTACGTTGAACTAAGTTCCATTTTCGCTCTGCCATCATCGCACCCATTAAGACTAGTTGAATTTGAACGAAGGGCTTCAAGGAAAAAGAATAATCTTTCCGGGATAAAGATCTGCAAAGCAATTTCCTGGCATACAGCGCTTGTTTGATGCGACCTGTTCATGTGTTGCGTCGCTGTGACTTGTCGTTTCAGGTATCGTGGCCGTAAAAGATTATTTCGAAAAATGTCTATCAAAGAATTAATTACAAAGAGTGTCTTGTAAATGGCAAAATACCTTGTTCATTGCTTCACGCTTCACTAACGTTACGTAACAAGGAATAAGTTTTCTCCGAGTTTTTTTTCTCCGAGTTCTTGTCCAGCGGAGGTGGCTTGAGATGCTTTATCAGCCTCTCTTCCCAGTTCTTTCTCTCAGTGAAGTCATGATGATCCAGAAAGGTTCTGTTGCGAAGGGCCTTAGGCAGCTTGCTCCGGTCAACACCATCGATACGCACCACAATAACAGAAGAGTCGCCCATCTCTGTACTCCGATATAGCGCCATCTCTAGCTCTCCGCGACAGAATTTGCTCGACATGTAGTTATGGGACATTACAGCCAGAACTTTTCGGCTCGTGTACACGCTCTCTGCCATGTTGTCCACCACAGGCTTCCCAGCCTGAAAATCTCTGTCATGGATACAGTACTTAAGCTTATGCTTATCTAGGAGCGGCAAGAGTTCTTTCTTAACCCAGTTTAAGTCCTGGCTGCTGAACGTCACAAAAACATCGTACCTAAACTGGCGGCCATTGACTGGAGTTTCTGGTAAATGAAACAATCGGGTAGGGTAAACTAGGGTTAAAATTTTTAATTACAGTAAAAATTTCTTCTTTTAATTGACCATACCCCAAGCATACGAGTTACGACCCTTTATCTTGTAGGTATATCTGAAACTAAGATTTTTGACCATTGCCTTAGCTGGTCTTACTTTGTTTCATATTTTTTTCTGAATTAGATCTGGAGTAGATAAAGGACAACACTTTTACCCTCCGAGTTTTCTCCTGCGCATTATTTTCAGGCCAGTTTTGTTGTTTACTCTACTCTCGAGCCACGGACCGCAAGTAAATAATGGAAGAATTGAACATCAGCCTTTTCCACTGACCATAACTCACGGTGAGAAAGGCTCAAAAATAACTTGAAACTTAGTATGAGAACTTAATAAATGTAATAATAATCTAAATGTGCAAGAATTGTAGAACACGAGCTGTCTCTCGTATGATATTAGCGAGCCGCGCGGAACTCTGGGAGCAAGGCGTATGAATAGTAGGTTTTCGTAGTTTTTTTGGGCCTCATTTCCAGACTTCCACGCGGCGCACTTGCATCAATTTTTTTCCGCTGACTATTTTTGCTCTTGAGCAACAGACTTTACCGAAAAGGAGGAACTGCCCGTAGTCTGCAAGAATCGAAACATAAATGTTGCTATTACAGCCTTACCACTGTTATGATCACTCTTATTCAATCAAATAGACTCATTTTATTTTAATCTTAGCTTTAGGGTCAAGTCGTATTAAAAAAATTATGTATAAAAAAACTATACCAAAGAATGGTTCTTCATCACTGCGCTTTTTTCTGCAAAGTCTGTAGGCAAACAAAGCTGCAATGAAACCCATTATAACGCCGCCTGCGGTAATGGAGCTGATGGCGACCAGCGGACTTTCACTAGACTCAACGCCGGCAATTCCATTTTTATCTAGAAAAAAAAGAATCGTTTTTCTTAAGTCTTAAAAAGATTAAAATATGCTCAGCTTGAAATTAATCAATTGAATTGTAACCAACCAAACAAACAAACAACTGAACGTACAAACGAAAACACAAGGAACACTAATTGGCAAGAAAAAAAATATAGTGCCCGCTGAAAGTAGATACAAGGGCCGTGTAACCTTAAACTGAATTAACATCATGTCTTTTCATTGTCTCAGTTTTGTTTGATATCCCTCAATTATTTGTAGACTACAGAGTATGCACCTTGATAGCGCTCACATGGAATTCTCAACTGAGGTTTTAACTATATATCCTGCTCTTTGAATTTTCATGAACCAAATTAAAAATGTCGAATGAAAATTTTTGAATGTTATAGTTGTGATTTAAATTCACTGCACAATTAGTTATTTGAATGTTAATAGTAATTTCCTTAATAGTAGGAAAACTTTGCAACAGAATTCCATCTGACGAGAATAAAACATGAAATAAGACGGTCAGATGATGAACGAAATGCCATATGTACAAAGAACAGATAATGCTTGAAACATACCATCGGCTTCTTCTCCTTCGAGGGTGACGGAAACTCTCGCTTTGACAATAATTATTTTGAAATCTGCAGCGCAGATATACCAACCAACGTATTGATCGCTTACATTAGATATCTGAAGCTGAAACAAAACCATCTTTGTTGAGTTGGTTCCTTCTCGAGGGCCATATGATTTTGTGTAGTATTGCAGTGCGGACTTTTCGTGAATCCTAGTGTTGTTAAAGATCCAAAAAGTCTCCGGCTCTAGTAGCTCTGATGGATATGAAACTTTGCAGGTCAGACGGACAGGAGATCTTTGATTTACAAACGCTTTAGCTGGATTTGCAGAAATCCGAAAATTCTCTGAAAAGATAGGAAAAAAAGTAAGTGCAACTTATCAAGGGAACCATTTCACCCTCTTCTCCCAAAAGTGATTGGTAGCTATATATTCTAGTGACACTATATTCAACACCAGCAAACGCAAAATGATAATGAAGAGTAAAATATTGTTAACGAATGCGTGGGAGAGAAGTTTTTAGACTTTGGTTTCTGCTGTCATCCTATACCACGCCACTCTCCCTTCCGTGAGCAATCATAAATACAGGAGTTACCCAAGCATGTCTTGTTTTAAAATTGTTATATTTAGATAGGACGTCCCGACCATAAAATCTTGTTGCAAGTTCCATAAAAAACCTCCAGCATAAATATATCTCTTTATCTTTTGCACTGATTGTTTGTCTATCTGTCATTTCCTATTTTGAAGTGAAGAGATGATTCTGGTACAGTTGGACTGTAATTTTAACAATTGCAGAAAAGAAGCTTGAGCAAAATCCAGGCTTCGACGGGATTCGAACCCAGGCCTCCCAGATACTCAAGAATCGGGCGCTATCACCGACTGAGCTACGAAGCCACACGTTGCACGGGAGAGAGCAGATTTTAGAGGGTTCTTCTTTCCCGTAAAGAAAATGATAACTACTTGTAATGAAATAAATTTCATGTAACATGCATACGAAAATCAAGCAAAGAAATAATCTTTGCTGGTCGGTTGCAATTTTAGCAATGACAGAAAAGAATCAGCCGCTCAATTTTTTTCGTTTCTGTTTGTCTACCTGTGTGTGTTTGTCTGTTCGAATGTTTGAATGTTTGTTTGTTTGTCTTTCTATTTTTTTCTTCCGATCTCTCTGTTCCCCTGTTCAAAGACCTTGAATCATGGTTAGAGGCAGATTTGTCTGTCTGTCTGTCTGCTTGTCTGTCTGTCTGTCTGCTTGTCTGCCTGTCAGTCTGCCTGTCTGTCTGTCGGTTTCTGCCGATCTCTCTGTTCCCCTGTTCAAAGACCTTGAATCCTGGTTAGAGGCAGATTTATCTGTTTTTCCGTTTGTCTGTCTGCCTGTCGGTTTCTGCCGATCTCTCTGTTTCCCTGTTCAAAGACTTTGAATCCTGGTTTGAGGCAGATTTGTCTGTTTGTCTGTCTGTCCGTTTGCCTGTCTGCCTGTCTGTCCGTCTGTCTGTTTGTCTGTTTGTCGGTTTCTGCCGATCTTTCTGTTTCCCTGTTCAAAGATTTTGAATCCCGGTTAAAGGGAGTTTTTTTTCGTTAATTTCTAAAGTATTAGTCGTCAATGATACAATACAAGAGAGCCATTTAAAGCTCATGATTCATCACCTAAAAGATGCCAACGAACAAACTCTCATAAAACCAACCTTTGGCCAGAATCTTCAGGGTTCTTCGCCTCTCTTCAAATCCCAGGGAGTTGCTTACTTTGCAGAAAAAATCTCCTTCGTCTGCACGTGACACGTTGAGTATCATCAAAGCAATTTTTAAACCACTGCTTAAGACCTCACGAGATAATCTGATATTGAGTGTTTCGTTGACAATTGTTCCATTACGTTTCCAATAAAACTGAGTGGTATCCTCTGAACATTTTTCCTCCGAGCAGATGCACTCAAGAGTAGCACTCGTTCCTAACACTGCTGGAATGGGAAGCCTTTCACGATAACCGTATTCGATCATATCAATTCCTAAAAAATAAAAAAGAGATGGAAATAAAGCAAATTTTATTCCTGCTCTTCCTGCAAACAGTGGAAAGATCCTAATCTCTTAAAAATTATTGACAAGGACTCATAAAAGAAAATTATTTTGCTCTACGAAGAGATGGGAACTTGAATTACTACAACAAACTTTTAACCCTAATAAATTCCCTTTTGAGCATCGAGGAATACCAATGGGATGAGAAATTGCCGCATTCAACTCCTTGGTCTTACACTTCCCTCAGCTAAACGTAATATTTTCTCATTTCTATACATTAACGTCAGCACCATGAAGTAAGACCCACCCCGAGATTTCTTGACAAACTTTTCTCTATGTTTTTTTTCTTTTTGCTATCAAAGAATTTTAGTCATAATATTTTGCTATCACAAAATTTTTGAAAGAAGATAACAAAAACCCGAATGATGTAAAATAAAAAGTTGTCATTTACTCACGTCTCACTTGGATTTCCACGCTCCTCTCGGACGTACCAAACACGTTATCAGCACGACACGTAAATTTCACACGCTGATATTTCTTTGTCACTGATATTATTTTCATGAAGAGTATGTTCTCACCATATCGACGTAATATGTACGTGTAGTCGTCGTCAAAATGTTGAATCTCGGAACCATCCAGCCACCAGGAAACACGAGGAACCGGCCATCCATTAGCTCTGCATTCTAATTCAGGTGTATTGCCATAGTCAACTATTCTGACAGCCGCATCAGACGTTTGCACATTTGGTTTGGCTATAGGGCATAATAATTTATAAAATTGGTAAGAGGGTATATGAGGAAAGTGACCCACTTGCCATTACTCATACCACCTTCTGAGTTCTGAAGCAATAAAGACTTTTGCTGTATGTGTTGAATGAGATTGTAATCTGTTTATACACCTGAGTGGGAATAAGCATCGTGAGAGTGATCTGTTTCGCCAAAAGCAATGTGGAATGACAAAAACAACTACAAAAATGAAATATGAAAAACAAATCTAAAGGAAATGTGAAAAAAAGTGAAAAAATATCACTTCACAAAATAGCCATTAAGAAAACAAATAAATGAAGGATTAAATGACTGAATAAGTGGAGAATACATAAATAATTAAATTAGGGAATAAATGAATGATTGAACGAAAGAACGAAGTAAGGAACAGGGCCCAGTTGTTCATTAGCCCTAACCCAGGGTTAAATTTTAATCCAGGTTTCTTTATTTCTTTTTTCAAAAGTCTTTTTGGGAAAATTTTCACTATTCTTTTTAGAACATCCAATGATCAAATTGCAAGCAAAAATATTTGAACTGAATTTTCTCTCAAAGTTTTCAGACCTGAAATCAAATTTCACACTAACCCTAGGGTACCTTAACCCAGCTTTGAACAACTGGGGCCAGATGGATATATCAATGGATGCATGGATGAATTCCAGCGAGCGGGAATAACGAAAATTTGAATGAAAAAATGGATGAGTAATGAATGGAAGGATGGATAAATGGACAGTTGTCAGAAAAACACATGATTGAATTAATAAATGAATTTTGAAAATAAAAAAGGATGCTTTGATGTAACGTCAGTTTAATAGGCTACTTTCCTCTCGGCTGTAAGTGATGTTTTGCTTTTTTTCGACGCAAAACAGAATAATATCAGCGGAAAGAAAAACAATTTTAAGGACGCGCCGGAGAGACTGGAAAATTTCAGCGGCTATTTCCTCTGAATGGCTCTTGTAGGTTCTTAACCCATTTTCATTATTAACTGTCATCTATAAAAATATAATTCGTAAAAACCTTTCTTCCGTAGTCTTCACCCACGCCTCACAAGTATTACCAAAATTTTAAAATAAAATTCGGTACGGGTGCTTTTCTGAGTCACAATCGCGGAGACAGCTAGAGTCATATTGAGGTGTTAGAGGCTGTTGAACTTTGAGAGCTCTACTCATAAAAGCGACTCTCAATCCAGGGAGGAAAAGGCAGTTTTATCTTATTTTTCATCGCTAAAGGCGCTTTTCAACTCTTCAGATTGTTCAAGAGGATGGCAGAAACAGTATTATATTTTTGACACTTATTTCTTGTTTTAGAATTCCCATTTCTTTTCATCGATACAATATCGACCACTTTTTCGATTAAAAAAGACCAATTTTTCAGGAGCCTTTTAACATTTTAACAAATTTGCAATAAAACTTTTGTGCTTTCTTCGCCATTTCATCAGGCATAAATTACCAGTGGTTAATTAAATAAGTTAAGGGAAACTGGCGTTTGAGGAATAAGTTGAAATTTAAAAAATTTCAGTTGCTTTACACTTGTCTCCCCTTCTGATTTTCGAACGGTTTTTTGGTAGAAATAATTTGAAAATCACGCTATAATTTTCTATGCCCCATAAAGAGCATGCAACGAAGCTTATAATGAGTGACGAGAAATATTGTTTGTAGGTTGGTATTTTCTTTCAAATTTACACCATTATTTAACGGGTACAATACTTTTCCCGAAAATTTCGATACCTCTTTCAATTATCTGTCGCCAAAATGAATAGGGTCCAGCTTTTATCAGAGGTCGTAGTCTTGTGAAAAATTGGATCTAATCCGTTCAGGAAAGGATCATACTTGTTCAGCTGAGTTTTTTATGAGGAGGAAAAAAAAATTAAATGTGCGTGTCCTTGGGCGGAAAACCTCCCCCCTTCATTTGCATACAAATTAAAGGAACTCTTCATTTGGTGTTATTTTGAACTTTCCGGATGTATATTAAAGAATATGAAAGTATGGAGTAAGTGTAAATTAAAAGGAATTTTTAGAGCTTGAATTGCTTAGAACACAATGCCTTACCAGGATAAACAAAACACGAAGCCATTTCCTCGCCACGTTTCGCTTTGCACTCAAATTTCTCTGCTTCTTTGGTCATATTTTCGAGAACAACAGCGGACCATTTCTTATTCTCCTTTGGATCCAGTAATATATGCTCCTTTTTGACTTGTTTCCCATCAATTGTCCAGTTGAAAGCGTTTGCAGAACGGCCACTAATTGTACAGTTCAAAACTGCTACCACAGTAACAGGAGATCTTGTAAGGTTCTTATCACCAAGAGAAATAGTGCACTGAAAGACGCACAGCACAGGTTTGAAGGGAAAGAGCGCTGTAAATAAAGAGAAACAAAATTATTCATTTGCTCGAGAAAAAATTTCTGCTTACGAAGAGCTAATTCGTTGTAATTTAAGAGTACGAGCGACGGGCACCATAGGAAAAAGTGTTTTTTGCCTAACAGTGACTTCACACATTTTTTGAAAAGTTTGACTGATTCATTCGGACTGAGCAAGAAAAAGCTTAACGAGGAGTTTATCAGAAGCCCTTACTGGAAATAAAAAGATGAAACCAATTGCTCTAGTTTCCTTATTTTAATTTTATGGAAAGTGAGATGTTCCATTTTATCGATTGCTGATATATATGAGTTCACCTGTTTTCTAAAACATTGCAAATTTGAAAATATTTATCAAATATATATTCCTTTTCTCTTCTCGTCCAAAAGAGCCCCTTTTTGACGAGAAAACAAGATATATATTTATTTAATATATATATCACAGAAGATATGGTCAGAGCATCAGTGTCCGTCTGCGGCTTAAAAACCAGTTTTTACTTTCTACTAAAGTCTTCATACATTGAATTTGTAAAATTGGAAAACTACGGAAAAGGAAATAAATATTTAATTTGATAAACTCTCAACTGGACCGCCAAAATGGAGCCACTTAAAGGTGTAATACAACAAAACAGATCACTATATCGTCGTTCATACCTCCTCTTTTTTTCGCGTGTCGTTTCTTTACTTTTGACTTATTTTCTAACACTTTCTTTTCTGTTTTTGATATATTTTAGCTTTTATCGCTCGGCTACTAATCTGCGATAAATTAACCCAAAAGAGTTTTTGTTTTTGTTCGGAATGAAACAAAAGTATCAAAGATATTTTAAAATGCTTAAAAATTGTTTGCGCAGCTTTAGATCTAGGAAAAAAAAGGAAATAAATAGAAAAAGCGAAAAACATAAATGCCAGGCCATTATCCCGTTAGGGTTAATTGATAGAATCCTGAAATTCAAAATAGTGCCTTACTGAATATAAGACATTTAACATACTGTATAGTATCTTTATTTAGCAGAATAGTAAGAAAGTCCTGATCCTGTTCTTATGGTCTTTGTCAGATACCGCTATCATTGTATAAAACTGTGCGAAGATATAGCCTTTTTTAATTGAATCTCTTTCAAAATATTATCTGAGATGAAAAACAAAAATTTTCGAATTCATCCAATTCTGCGACGCATTAATTTAAAAGTATAATTGTAGAGTTCAATAAACCTTGGTAAATTGTTTTCTGCTGAGTAATGGCTACATTCCCTTTCGTCTTCTAATTTGTTTTTTAGGCTGGTTTTATATTGCTTTTCATTTCACTGCATTAAGGTTTACCAAAACACTTTGTTGAAGAAACAGAAAAAAAAGAAACAGGAAAAAAAAATTGGACGTCAGATCATTTTCAAAATGTTCTTCTACATTTGAGAAATGCATCTCGATGACGTCATTAGAAAAACAGAATGCAAATTTTACCAACACTTAAAGATCCAGTGACAGGTGTAACATTTCACGATCTGCAAGTTATTCAAATTATTCAAAGACACTGGAATAGAGGTTTTCTTGTTTTCCTACCGCCAGAACACAACAAAAAAATAAAAGTCAACTTGCTACCTTGACTTGGTCTAAATTTCATTGGGTTGGAAGTTGGAACCCCCCAGATTTTGTTCGATTTAAACTTGGTGTTGCGAAAGGAGGTTTTGGGATTAAAGAATCAATAATCGCAGAATTATGTTGATAAGAAATGCAGATTGCAGAGAGTCGAAGGATGATATTGAGTCACGCGATGGAAGCGACGCTCGAGTAAAATCCGATATTCTTTCTTGAAAATCTTGCTACAAGTTTATGTAGTTTAAAAATCATTTCTGCTGGGATTTATGCTTCAGCTGCATTCATATATTTTCCCGTTCGCAAAGGGCTGAGGCAAGTTTAACGTCATACCGCGAGCACTAAGATTTGATTTGTGTCTCGCTTTATCTAAGATGGAACACTCTCAGGAAAAATTTGAAATTCGAAGGGAAAGTGGTCTATGAGTTGAATACACTACTTACCCACAAGAGACAAAATAAGAAGGAGTATTTTGAAGATACGCTGGTACATTTTAGGCAGCACTTTCAGTCAGAGAGTCAAATGAAGAAGGCTTTAAACGTAAAAAGCAGAAACGTATTGAGGCAACTGCGAACCGCTAGTAATTTTGCGTCTAAATGCATTTCTTATCACGTCTGCGCGGTTTAGGGCATAAAGTGACAGGATGTCATAGTTCAAATTAATAACACCCAGCTGTTTTGGGTTGTCTTGTCGGCATTCCCCTTTGTTTTCCTGCGTTTCTGCCCCCTACGACTGAGGGGGAAGTTTTCAGATCAAAAATTAATTGAAAGCTCTGCACGAAGCACGGAGGAAATAACTACTGTCAGAAAGTTTTTTTTTTTTCAATGAAATATTTCGTTATGTATGAATTACAAATGAGTCTCAAGTAGTTGGATGGAGTTGTAGGAATATTTTATCAATTTGCCTTCCTCTTTCGAGAAACTTAGTTCGGGAAGTTATTGTGTGCATGAACGGATATCAAAAGAATATCATAACATCCCTAGTTAAATTGCAAAGGAAGAATTTACTTAATGTATCATACTCAATTTGAATGAATGCAATTTAAGCAAGGTAGTCAGAAAGTTATATATGCTATTTTTTTTCTTTAATTTTGAATAAAAGAAAAAAAATTGAAAAATCTTCCCTCGGTCGCGCCGTCATTAGCGTTTTATTTATTTCATACCCTTTCAATTCATAATTTTGATAAATTTAACAAATAGTTAACATACAGTAAAAACAAAATGAAATGTGAGCTAGTTCTTCGCAGACTTGCAACAATGATCCGTACATTGAGCCAATAATGCAAAGGACAGATCAACTTGGTTACCTTCAAAGAGGGCTAATGACAGTGAAATTCGCAAAACGACCTTACATCCCTTAATATGAATCAATATTCTATACCCATTTGGAAATGGAAGTATATATTGTGACATTTCCTCCGCCAGGGGTAGCAAATGATTTGAATTTAAAGTTGATTTTAGAGCTCTAGGGGTGGAAAATGATTTAAATGTAAATTTGATTTTAGAGCATAAAACACAACAGAATGTTCAAACATCCTTAACCAGTGCGTTATCATAACATTCGTCATTTAGTTGTCAATAAGGGCGGTTAAGGGCGAAGAATTTTGTCATGGGAAACTTGCAATAACAAAATGTACGCTTTATGGATCGCATGCTTCTCCAGTTTTATTATCAACCCTAATCATGATGTTTCTAATGTTCCACAAGTGAATTGTTGCTTGACACCAAAAAATTCTTCGAGCGACTTAAAACGTTCTGAACAGCTATAAGTGCTTTAGTGTATACTTCACAGGCGAATAGTGCTTATCTAACATGTTGATTGGCTTGTTCCGAAGTGATTAACACTATTCCTCTCAAAGCAGCCGAATACTAAAAAAATTTTTACCCTAGTGTCGGTGAAAGTGGTGGATATTTGCCTCGCCGCTTTGCCGCTTAATAATTAAAACCTGGCACTATTCACCTCTACTTCGTTGAATAATTACTGGGTATTTCTCGACATTTATAGCTGAATCAATTAGTTAACTGACAGAATTTTCCCCACCACCATTGAACTTTATGAAATATGCAATAGATATCGCATTATTAACATTTCACTTCATTGCTGACTACTTTTGAGCTTGTTAGCACACTTCAAAAGTACAGAATAAAACTTTGTAAATTAATATCTTAGTATCTCCTTGAACTGAAGCAAGTCTGAATCATACCATATATTGAGCTGCTTAAAAATATGTTTTTGCTAAATCAACGGAAACGTTTTTATTTTCCTCGTTTGGGAAACGATTTTTGCCTCGTCAACTAAAAGCCTTCCTGTGCTGAAGTTGTTTTTCAGCGTGGGGTCTCATTTGTGGAGCATATTTACATCTCAGCTTGTTTCCGATAAGTTTATCACTTCGATTCGTCGATGGTTATTTCTTCCCGTTTTTAACAGAGTTTTGAAGACCGCTTTATATTTTGGGAGGCGCCACGCGTACAAGAATGGATTCAGCAAAGATTTCATGGTAAAGATGTAATAAAATATTGCAAATAAGTACATTTGATAAGATTCGTGTTCCTCGCACGTGGGACATGCACCAATGACTTGGTAGAACACAAACCAGGGAGTCAGACAGAATAAAAACAAACACAGTGCAACCACCATGGCCTTTGTCATATTGCGTTCTCTTTGGTACGCATTGATGACCATTTTCCCTGATTCGTCAAGGTCTCTTGCCCCCTTACGAAGATTTTTTAACATGCAGTAAAGGCGAATATAGAACAAGACGCTGATAACTGACGGAAGCACAGTGTGAGCCCCAGATATGATATTAATCAGCGTGATCGAGTAGTTGAGCTCTCTCAGGATCGTCCGATACGACATGTAGACGATGCTGCTTATCCAGATAACCAGAATCCATAGAAAGACTCGTCTCTTCGTAATAGTAACGTTATGCTGTAATGGTCTCGCTACAGCCACGTATCGATCGAAGGACAATGCCACAGCGTGTAAAACGGAAGAAACTAAAAACAGAGAACTCACGGCTTCGATGGCGTGAACAGCTATGGAAGAAAACGTTAAAATCCACCAGGCACACAAGGGCTCTTGTACCAAACCTACAAAGAAATCAGCTATCGCTTGACTCGCGATAAGTAAATTAGACGGAGATCTTTGCAAATTCTTATTAGGATCTTTCCATACAGCAAGAAGAACCAACGCGTTTGCAAACGTTGTAGCTAGCGCTGTCAGCGCAACGAACACTGCCCAGAAATACTTAAGATCAAAGTTTGCTTCTTTCCAAGGACGTCCCGTTGAATCATAGAAATCATTCTCCATTTGGGTTGAAAGGAATGATATGCGTAACATATATTTTTGCCAGAAGATTCTTTTTTAGTGAGGTAGAGATTAGTCTTCGTTGGTATCTTTTCCTTTTAATTCTTGCAATTCTTGACTGTTAGTTTAAGAGAGCAAACATCCCATTTAATTTCGCAAACAACAAGGAATCAAAATCGACAGCTGTATGTAGGATGGATTTTGTTCGATCCTGTGAAGCCACGAGTTTCTGTCAATTATAATTTATCATTTGATCGGCTTGACATGAATCATATTCACTTTCTCTGTGAACTGAAATCGAATGAGTATCGTTTTTATATAAGAAGTGATGACGATTCTTTCTCTAACATTGAGGCTTCGAAAAATAAATTCGAAATCCTTGTATTTGAATTGATTTTATTTTGTATCGATCATTTTCAGTTCATTCGGGCGTATTTAGCATTATAAATACATTTTCTTAAACCGAACGCAAGCTCTCTTTCAACACTGCACAGGCTCTGACATATCATCAGCAGGTGTATTTTTTTAGATTTGGTCAATTGTTATCTTTGCGAACTGATAATGGAAAAATACTTCAGATACGCTTGCTACCAATTGACTTGATCCTAAACTTAACTACTAAAATTTGGTTTCAATGTCGGTTAGGAGGCAATTGAATATACTCAAAAATAATTGTAGATTCCTCTTCTGTGTAATTTTTTTCTTCTACGTGAAGTAGATGTAATTATTATAATTAGTATATCTGTGATTACGAGCGCCAGACAATTGAAAAAACCAGTGGAAATGTTTTATTTGAATAAGTCTGCCCATCTTACAAATAAAAATTGCGAAAGCTATATCTCAATTCCGACTTAACCAACAAATATAAAGGAACATTACTAATTAAAGAAAATATTATTTCACCATTTACGTTGGACATTAAGATGATGTCAGTTTGATCCGTGAACAGATTGGTTAAAAATGATTTTGGGGGAAAAAATAAAAAGAGAAAACTGCGTAAGCTTTTTTGTACACATTATCTTTTATTTCTTTCTCGAAGGGCACGGTAACGAATCCCGCGATATGATTGGTTCTTACCGCCGTCCGTATTTTCCTATCTCTGCCCACGGGCGCGGTAACGCTTTCGTGAGTCGCCGAGAACATCCCCAGCTTCTTTGCCATTTTTCATGTACATATTTTGTTTTGCCGGCTGGGTAGTATTTATAAGCAAATCAAGTCGATTAATAACTTATTAATCCTCTCTTTTCTCTCTCTCAAATCACTTTGCTTGCCAGCAAAAAATTGTTTTCGAAATTAATTTGTGGTAGCAAGTGTGTCATTAAATGGGTTGACACGCGACCTATACACAGTTTTTAATTAACTGTAATCCTTCACAAAAAAGTGACTCATAAGGTTAAAACTGTAAGATATTTGTTTACAACTGAATTAATCGACGGAATTTCATTCATCCAACAACTGAATTCTCTCAAACAATTTCTTCGTTGTAAAACAGCAAGCGAAGTTTTCAGTCCTAATTCAAGTCTTTGCAAGTCTGTTCAATTTGGCCATTTGTACAGTAAATTGCACAACAGGAACCGAAGGAGAATTATAAAGTAGATTTATAAAGTAGATTTTCTGACTTTAGACGAAATGTGCATTGCTCCGCCTTTATCGACCCCTATGCCGTGCAAAGAGAGTAGGCAGACTGAGGAATGTATTAAGTCACATTTGTTAGTGTTATTTACAATGGTCGATAGGAGAGAACCAGAGATTGACAAGTAAAGAGATTTAGCACTGCGTTTACGTGGGACGGCAAACGTTAGCTTATCCTTTCACGTTTCACGTAAAATAGCGTGAACCTTACTGCTCAAGCTTTGCGTGTTTCACGTCACTTCAGAATGGACTGAAAGCTGTCTCAAGAGTGGACGCGAGTTCTTGCAGCAGTCTGCCGAAGAAAAGTGCGGCATTCGAAGGACTTTCAACATGAAACTTCATCTGCCCTTATGTGACCTACAGGAAATAGTTTTGGTGCACTTTTTCCGCAAATTAATTTCTACTCTCTAAAAGGTATACCTTGTATTTGAAATAGATAACAAAACTAGTGGCTATTCAGGTTTATCGAATGATACTGAAGCACGACTTGCAAATCAAAATCGCATATCTGTCGCAAGTAACAGGTAACGCAACACAAACAGAGTAGGCTATTTTTTCTTTATCGTATCAGGTCTCGTGACACAGGAATACACGCAGGGATCAGATCAAGCGGAGACGTGATCAGAAACACAGGAAGCTGAAGCAGTCAGTTGAAATACAAAGATCACTTCCCATGTCGTCTTATTAGGCAAGTTGTTTACCAGAAGTATTGAAAAACTACAATGGACTCTGCGAAGAAACCTGCAAAAATATGCTCAGAGATCGTTCTCCACAGAACCTCTACGGTTCTTTCTTTTGTTTCCATGCTGCTTATAGTTGCGCTCTTCATGAGGATGGAAACAATAAACAGACGAACAAAAATGAACGAGCTGCGAATCTCTGACGTGGAAAGTCACATGAAAATCACTGGACCGTTAAAGAACGAAAACGATGAAGACGAAAAGGAAACGTTGAAGGGTGAGTGAGCGGCTATTTGCGAATCTAACCTCTCATTTACGTGTCATTGAATCAGGTTAAAAAACAATCGGTTGTTACATTGATGTAAAGAAGTCAGTGTTCGCAAACCATAGCCCTGATCAATCTAAGGACTAATCTAGACTCAATGTTCTAATGCTTTTGAAGCCTTATTTCCCTTCCACACCATATTTCACTCCATGATGGCAACACTTTCAAAGAAAACTTTAACTTTATGAGGATATTGCACCCCTTCATTTATATGACAATGAAATTGATACAGAATAAGTCAAGCAGGGACAATCGATACCTTACCAGCATAGTCATTGTTTACATAAGGATTATGAATACGCCGGGTGGTTAGCTAAACTCATTCCCCGATGTTTCCATAACCTAACACTGACTTTGAAAAAGCGACCGAGTTGAACAACAACAATATAGTAACCTCCTATACTATCGATGTCTAAGAAAACCGTAATCGAAACATCCTATACGACGCAAAGTAAAATTGATGAAAATAAAGAGGTAAAGGTCAAACCTGGCTGTTTACTTTCAGGTGTTAGGTTGCGCTTCCTGCAGGATTAAAGTAGGCCTTTGGTCTCCCTGTTGAGTATTAAGGTTATAGAAAACTCTTATTGCGCTCTTAACGAAAATATCACAGACTTCTATGAATCGAGCAGTCCATCAAAGAAGAGGTTAAAACGGCGTCCATAGCCAAATCTAGTGGACACATTGGTCTCTTTTCAGCGTAAACTCTGCGTCTTGTCATCTCAGACTGCGGCCATGAAATTTCGCCTCTTTGAATCAATCGAGGAAAATAACGTCAAGCAAAGGCAAATGAGTAAAATTTTGTTAGTATTATTTGCTTGATGACACTAAAAGATCCGAAAATCTCGATTCTTCAAAGGATTCTTTATTTTTTATCTTTCATTGGTTTGACTAATTTTGTTTTGCATGTCAACACACTCGTGGAGTGTGTCGGCCTGTGGTATGAGGCAAGGGTGGCATTCATGTGGAAACGCTAAAATCTAACATGATAAACCAGTTCTGGTTATTATATGACGTACGGCCCGCCAGAAAGAACGACAGTGATACGACAAAATACTTCTTGACTGGTCCTGACTTCTTCATGACCTCGAGCTATATAGTTCCCGGTCCAGCCCTTTCACTCTGTCAAAAACTAAATAGTAGTTCGTTTTACAGTCGTAAGCAGTGACATTTTTTTTTTCAACTGCTTTATTATCTCACTGTTTTTTTAGATTTAAAAAACTGTAAAGAAATAGGAAATAACGATCTCCAGAGAAGAAAAAGAAACAGTGCTCAGATTACTGTACAAGATGTTCGCCATGAAATCAACAATCAGTTTAATCGAGCTTGTAACGCCACAAAAAAAATTTGCCTGAAAGGACCTCCAGGCCCTCCCGGTACTCACGGGTATCCTGGATACAAAGGAGAGCCAGGACCTCCAGGGCTCACTGGCCCACGAGGATTTATGGGTCTAAGTGGGGCCCCAGGCGTGAGTGGCAAGCAAGGACCAGTTGGACCTCAGGGAGTAAAAGGCGAGAAAGGTGATGTAGGCTCTGTTGGCGCACCTGGGATCAAAGGTGAGTTCGGTTTACCTGGTCCTCAAGGGAGAAAAGGATCTATTGGTTTAAAAGGCAGCAAGGGAATAAAAGGTTCTATAGGAATTCGTGGACCGAAAGGACATCTTGTTGTTGCACCAAAAGTCCATGTTTTTCCCAAATCGCAGGTAGTTCCCGTCAACAAATCAGCAACTTTTTACTGCTGGGTTGATGGTCATATGTCCACGAAAACGACTTGGCGTAAGCTTGGAGATGCTTTAGCTAAAGGTGTCGTAAATGGTGACACTCTCCATTTTGACAACGTCCAAAAATCCCACGCTGGATCGTATGTGTGCTCAGTATTTACTGGTTATGGATTCTTCAAGGCCGCCAGTACCCTACAAATCAAAGGTATGGAAATACTAAATAAGTATTTTGAAATTTGGAAACCTATAAAGTCGAGAAGGTGTGATCGTCAGATGTCGTGTACGTATGTGCGTGGTTTATGGAGGCTTTGGCTATACTTTTTGACCAAACTCGTCACCAGCCTAACCATTTCGCCTCCAAATCCCTCAACTCGTCTCCTTATGGCAGAATGTATCCCTTTCCCGTCAAAAACATTATACATTTAGATGGCATGCAATGGGGCGAAACTTCATGATAGCCCGTGCGTCCACAATTAGGCAGTGATATTACTGTGAGGCTCTATGTATAAATGAATGCACGCACAATATATATTTATAATATGAACGCATGCAGGCCGATCAAGGAAAATACAGCTTAATTGGGTTCGTTCTAGATCTAGATGGGCATTTTACAGTTTCATATAAAAAGCATATGTGGTAAAGAATACTCGAATCTCTACAATCTGTGCACAAAAGTCTGAAAAGCAAGTGAAGAAGCTTTCGAACAAAAGAAGCGAAATTGTCTCCTGAATTCAATTTGGAGATCACTTGGGCTCGGTAAATATTGATATTTGATTGCTATTGATAACTGATATGTACACAAATTCATCATTTGGAAAAGCGAAATGAAATGTGCTTGATAAAGCGTCACAGCAAATTGAAATGTACTATCTTGAATTAAAGCTTCCGAACCAGTTCAAGATAATCTTATTTCTATTTTGAATCACTATGTTTAAAAATATTTTTAAATATAATTTCTGCCTTTATAAGAACCATCATTGTCATTTTTTTTTTGAAGAGCCACCTGTATTAATAAAGAAACCTCCCTCACAAGTCGAGGCAGAGCTTGGCTCTACCTTGAAACTTTGCTGCGTTGCTGAAGGCTCAGTCTCATGGTCACGCGCCCAATTGTCCCTGAATTTGTTGCCAGCTTTTCAGCAAAACGGATGCCTCACCATAACCAGTATCACAGAAGAATCTGCTGGAAACTACATTTGTCGTGTTACAAATACCTTTGGATTCGCAGAATCTTCAACTGCAGTAATCATAAAAGGTTAGGTGTTATGAATATATATATATATATATATATATATATATATATATGTATACACACACACACACATATTTTCAACTCAATTTTAAGTGAAAAGTTTATCAGTGTTGCTTTGCTAACGAGAAATGCAGCACATTTAAACTAAGGAATGCGCCGTCCAACTATGGAGGGTAAAAATTGACGGGGGGTCATAGGACAAAGAACAAACAGCGTGAGCCACTGAAACTGGGGTCAATGAGCGTGCGTTGGATATACATGTTATTGACCAATCTTGTTCGGTCATGATGGCTTATAGGTATTGGCCGAATTGTTTTGTTGTTGTTGTTGTAGTTGTAGTAGTAGTTGTTTTTTGCGATTTTATGGGCCGAGACGAAGTCGAGGTCTATAAAAACGCAAAAAGAAAGAACGGCTAAAATCCAGCCGACAAGCTTTGTGAATAAAGAATTAAATATATAGCAAAAAGATCATCGGTTTATTAAGAGTCAAAACTCGTTTATTTCGAAAGACGTGGAAAGAAAAGCAAATATAGCGCAATATACCAACGAAAGCCGTTTATGTTCCCTTCGTTTTGACTGCCATCTGCCGCTCTTTGCAACTCTATCGCTGATGTTGTCCAAAAGTTATGAACTTCGCCGGAGTGTCCGCCCCAGGTATTTTTTTTCTTTTTGCGCGGGATCAAAGCGGGAAATTCAAAGCGGGTAAAATGGGCCCATCTTGCCCACTCGGGTAGCCAATCCGAACACCGTATGCGCTCCATATTGCCCCAGGCACTGCCAGAGATATAATAGGAGATGGTAAATAGGCAACGAAGTGCATAGCGCCGAATAAACAATTGCTCCTCTCCAACTTGTTAGATATGAGATGATAAATAGCCAACGAGGCTCGTCATGTCATGTCCAACAAGCGCGAGTGAAATGATTGTTTTATTATATGAATAAATCTTTCCAACTTTCTTTTTTTAAGAACAAACGGAATCTTACAATATACAAAAACACTGCCGGTTTAACCCTCGTCATGCGCAAGTATGGTTTAATAGCTCATAACCCATGATGGCTAGGCCAATGAAAACTCTTGACTTGCATTATTCAATGACCCAATTTCTAATAATTGGGTGTAATCAATTCCGTATCCTACAAGTGCGAATGGAATAATTGTTTTATCAAATTTCAAGAAAGAACTGAATGTACTTAGCGACATCGACCAGTTATCCCGCGGAACAGAAAATAACAGTTTCAGATGACTGGCATGGGTGCATCATGTTCTCACTTGAATATTGGGACTCGTTTGTTTGTCATTCATTTTCCTTTTGCGTTGTCTTATCTCCACCTTTGAAAGTAATTTTGCTTGTTCTTTTTGCGTTGTCTTGTATTTCAGCTGCAAACTCGTGTAACGACTGGAACCATAAGTACGGCGGAATAAAGAACGGAGCGTACCTGTTGTCACTGGAAAATCAATTCTTCAAGGTAATCTAATTATCATATTCATACATGAATTAGGTATCCAAATGAAAAACAAATTATATATAGTGGAAGCTTGGACAATCTCACTCACTTTGCAACGGAAGGCAAATAATTAATAGAAGAAAAATTCATAGCCGTGGGCGTTTTGGACGAGGAATTAAGACTTTCTCCTTACTGTACGTTTTCGTCATACTCCAAATTTCCAAGAACGTAATTATTTTTCGGACTAAAAATGATGGCTATCTCATCCCTCCATTACCCCAGTCAAATGGTCTTCTCATCCCTTCCGGTTATTTAATGTTTGGCACCAAAGTTTTATTTTGGCGGTAAAGATATGAAATTTCCAGTACTGACTTGTCTCCATCAGGAGCCTATCACTTAGAGCGTTCAAATCCCATGCGAAGCCTAACATCTTTTCTCTCACTGTAGAAAAGGCGTATGTAGTCTGTGCAAATAAGCATTAGTAATTTTTTCAGCATAAAGTATCCGTCTGTTTTGTCAGGTCCAGTATTCCATTTAGGCAGGAAGCCATTACCCGGAGCCTCCATACCAATTGTACCCTTGAATCAACCCTGTCCCGTATCTTTTTATTTTTAGAACTGAGATACGTAGGAGGTTCTTTAATTTCCTGCGAAAACACGCTGACGTTCGCATAATACCCTAAAAAAAAATGGTAAACTTTCCGCGCTCTTCGCCATTATTGAAATACTTTCGTACGGCCTGCATGTGGCGTAATCAGGAGAGAACCACAGCTCTCTTATGATTGGCTATTATGTAAACACTCGCGAAAAACCCCGTGGGAGGTGCTTCTAAAAATAAAAAGATACGGGACAGAGTTGACTCAGAGGGTAAGTATGGTAGATGGAAGCTCCGGGTAATGGGCTCCTGATTTAGATGATTCCTCCATATTGCACTGCACATTCTCTACTGCGCATAAAAATCACGTAATCAGGCGAATAAGCGCGCGTATCACGAGAATACAGTATTGTTTTTCAATCAATGGACCAGGTGTAGAAGAACGATTGTCTTTAGCTCTTGAACGAGCACTGTGGCCTTTATCCCTTAAAATTGGGGATATTCAGAAAGAATTCCTCGAAGGCAAAAAAAAGAAAAAAAGATAAAGCTAAAAGCGTGCACAACACCCGTTATTCGAGGATGCAAATTATGACCTTAAAGGAACGACTCGAGGAACGTTTTGAGTCCATGTCGTTCAAATTTGCGTGGTTGTCCCACAAATTAAGTATCAAATTGTTCAGCTGCAGCAAAATGTACCGTAAAAGCATTAAGATGAAGCGCGTGATTAGTGCAAGTACAAGCATTAATGGGTAAGTTTGGCCCATCATACCTCATAAACAAGCTCGGTGACCTATCTTTTTTACTGTATTTTTCGAAACGACACTGGTAAGGAACGTTTATGGAAGGTTAAAAAAATTATTCCAAAAATTGTTTTCTGAGGAATTACCTTAAACATTCATATCCTTTCTCCTTTATTTTCCTAAATCCTTTGCTAAAATTCACACGCCCTGTCTAGTTTAGAAAAAGATATTATCGATTATTAGGCAGGGGTGTGTCTCTGCGATTATTATTTTATTTACTTACTAATTCATCGAACATCATCCATTTAAAATTTCATCTTCTATATTTCTACATTTTATAAATGTACTGAAAATGTACTAATGAGCCACGTTTGCAAGTTAATGACATTACAGAAATTGAGTTGCCATTGGTTCCACTCTATGTTAATCACAGGAGTTCTCCATATCACAGGACTTCGAATTGTTCCGCGATCCTCTATTGTGTTTTCAAACGTTCTTTGTTGTGAATGTAAGCACTTCGAGAAATTTTTCGAAGTAACTATCACAAAATATATTGTATAACAATTTATGAGTAGCGTTAATGGAACGGCTAGACCTTTTTCTCCCAGTGCCT